TTATAGAGTTATTAGAGTTATATAGAGTTATATAGAGTTATATAGAGTTATATAGAGTTATATAGAGTTATATAGAGTTATATAGAGTTATATAGAGTTATATAGAGTTATATAGAGTTATATAGAGTTATATAGAGTTATATAGAGTTATATAGAGTTATATAGAGTTATATAGAGTTATATAGAGTTATATAGAGTTATATAGAGTTATATAGAGTTATATAGAGTTATATAGAGTTATATAGAGTTATATAGAGTTATATAGAGTTATATAGAGTTATATAGAGTTATATAGAGTTATATAGAGTTATATAGAGTTATATAGAGTTATATAGAGTTATATAGAGTTATATAGAGTTATATAGAGCATAAATCCTATATATATACCTTTCTTTGAGGTTCTTTTCTTTGCCGACCGGTCGGCTTCTTTGCGTTTCTCTATTTTCATTCAAATTAATAAAATAAATAAGATTTTTCCATTCATTTAGGTTCATTCAGGTTCATTCATTCAGGTTGAAGCTTCCAGAGGAGTTCATCGTGGAAGATCAGAATGGTTGTGATGTCACGCTACGTTCGTTCACTCAGTTGCAAAGAATGCACGCCTGGCTGGAGTAAGTTTTACGGTTTCTTTGCTGTTCCTTTTTTGCCAGTTGGCTTTTCACCGTGGCTCGTTTCTCTCTTTTCATTTAAATTAATTAAATAAATAAGATTTTTTTATTTTATTCATTTCATTCAGGTTGAAGCTTCCAGAGGAGTTCATCACGGAAGATGTCAGGCTACGTTCATTCATTCAGTGGCAAAGAATACACGCCTGGCTGGGATACGTTTCATTCTTTTTTCTCTGTAATTTAACATTAAGTAGGAATGCTCACACGCACACACACGCACACACAATTACATTAAGTAGCTATATAGGTAGGTTAGATAGGCATACTTTTTAGGTAGGATAGATAGGAAGCATCCAACACTAATGTAGTTGAATAGGTAGGCGCGTAAGTTTATCTTCTATTTTTTCTTGCACCAACATTACACGCATCAGCGTATTACACACACACAAATACATACATAAACACATATGTTAGTATTTGAGCGTAGTTTTATTTTCATTTCACGTTCTAATTTATTATTACTAAGGTTGAGAGTAATTTAATTTCATAGGTAGTTAAGGGCAATAATGTAATTCTAGGAACAATCTTGTAATGTAAACTAAAACGCTGTAAGTGTATCGATAGGTAGGCTAATATAAGTTTTACATTATTATTATTATGTTGGAGCCCAAGGCATTACGTAGGTGGTGGGGTGGGCGCCGATTGGCTAAATGAATTGGGCTCTTGAGTTTTGTAATTTTAGGTAAGCTAAGACCGTAATGTAATGAATAGGTAAGTTAAGGCTACGTTGTAACACATACTCATTAATAGATTTAGGGTTTAAGTTTTATATTATTATTACTAAGTTGGAGCCCAAGGCATTACGTAGGTGGTGGGGTGGGTGCCGATTGGCTAAATGAATTGGGCTCTTGAGTTTTGTAATTTTAGGTAAGCTAGGGCTTAATTGTAATGAATAGGTAAGTTGAGGGTACGATAGCCGATTGACTCTGGATTTCAAAGTCTCTTGTCAGAGGTAAGCCTTGGTGGCCAGTGGTGAACCGGCAATGGTTTACTATCCGGACGGCAATGGTTTACTATCTGCACGGTAATGATTTACCATGCGGCACGGCCATAGTCTACTACCCGCACGGCTTCCGGACGGCAAATGGTTTACTATCCGCACGGCAATAGTCTACTATCCGCACGGCAATGGTTTACTATCC